ACTTATCTTATATGATGGTGAGTGTAAGATGAGGGTTTGCATTAGTTTTGAAGAAAGAATGCCAAGCATTGCAGAGGACCAAAAGTTAGACTAGATGTAATCCAACAGTGAAATCAGATTGCACATGCTCTTTTTTGTAACAGCATGTCCTGGGTTTAGCAGTAGCAGTCATTTTTTTCTCTTTCTTGGTAGCTGGTGCAGTGCTGTGTTTTGACTTTCGGCCTGGGAACAGAGCTGATAACAATGATATTTTGCTTTGGCCAAGGACTTGGTGAACCTCATGTTCTGCCAGGGAGGAGGTGAAGTGGGGAGGAAGCAGAGACAGGATACCTGACCCAAACTGACCAAAGAGGGATTCCATACCACAGCACGTCATGTCCAGGATGTAACTGGGAGTTACCCGGAAGGACAGGGGGTCTGCTGGGTCAGACTCATTGTTCGGCGGGTGGTATTGTACTCTTTTCCCTTGTTATTTTCTCTTATCACTGTTGTCATTGGTGGTAGCGGTGGTGATCTCTGTTGTACATTGGTTGCTAGACTGTTCTTATCTCAGCCCGTGGGAGTTGTATTCTTTCGATTCTCCTCCCCATCCCTCCAGCAGCGGGGAAGGGGGGGAGCCCCTGGGGGGGACACAGGCCTCGACTGCTTCCAGCCCAGTACCACTCACTGGGAGTGAGCACACAAGCTGTCTGGCTGGGTTTAAACCACGACACAGCACAATACCACTTCCTTTTGCACTGGGTAGTAAGCTTTTAAAATGAGAAGTTCGTGTCTGGTGTATTAATGTTCAAAACTTTCCAATTTAAACTTATAATACGATAGGTGAGTAGTTCAAAACATAAATATATGAGCAGAGCTGCATGGTATTACTACTCTGTTTATGATGCTAAAGAGTCAAAACAGTGCCAAGCCATTCTGCTCTCTTATAAAGAATTTAAATTATTTATTGACATGGAAAGTTAACAGTTTTCTGTGTTTACTCTAGCTTGTATTATATCTGATATGAATGAGGCTGTTTGGAGCTTACTTTTTTATCTAATTTTCTCAATGTTGGCAATAATTTTGCTGTTTCAATAACTGATCTTATTCACCTGCTGCTAAAAACAGTTGTCACATTGAATTACATACCCTGCACAGACATTGTCGCAATTAGCAATCACAAAACATCACAACAGAAGTGTACAAAGATTTAGAATCCAAATTTTTAACTGTACGTAATCATGTCCTAATTTGCTTAGGCACATGCCAATGAGTTCTGTTCGTTTGTACACACAGTGTATTGATCTTCATGTGCAGATGTAGTAATTGCACATGTAAATTTGGAGCAAAGTGATATGAGCATAATCCAAAATTCTATGTCAGTCCTCATGGCCAGTTTCTGATTGACTGGTCAGCTGTGATCCAGCCAGTCAGAAACACTGGGCCTACGGGAATTAAACCCACCTGAGTTCAGTGCATGTCTTTTCCCAGTTAGAAAAAGATTAGTGAGGATACCCATTTTGAAGATCCCAAATTCATGAATCATTTCCCTTCTCCAAACAAGTTGACTGCAAAGTAAGTGTCCTGGGTTCAGCTTTACCGGCTGGGCTTAAACCACAACAGTAGAGATTCAACCCATTTTTGGGGTACAAATTTACTTCTACCACAACCGTACTAGCATTTCCAGGCGTGATACGTCCCCCATCGCATGGCAAGAAATCATCTGTGACACCATGTAATTGTACTCAGGTCATAGCCAGAACAACTTGAATTTAAACCAGATAGATGGTTTCCAGGGAGGCCTCCTGGACCCACTGGAGTGTGTAGCTTCTCTGTGGGTGTAGCTGCATGTGGGTCACACACCAGCATCATCCAAGCATCCCACTTTGCTAGTGGGGAATGGAGAGCTGTGCAGATGGAAGACTGTGAGAAGTGCTGGTCTGAGTGAGGCAGGGCATACATAGGCTTGAGGATGTAGGAAAGCTGCTAGGATGGCTAAGGCCTCCTTGGAATTAAAGCTGGCGAGAGGGGTCAAGGACAGCAGAAAGAGCTTTTTCAAATACATGGCAGGTAAAACTAACACCAGAGGCAATGTAGGCCCGCTGATGAACGGGACGGGTGCCCTGGTGACAGATGATACAGAGATGGCAGAGTTACTGAATGACTTCTTTGTCTCTGTCTACTCTGCTGGAGGCAGTCCTGAAGAGCCCTGTACCGCTGAGACCCCGGATGAAGATAGGTCAACGGAGCGGTCTGCCTTAGTTGATGAGGAATGGGTTAAAGATCAGTTGAGCAATCTGGATATCCATAAATCCATGGGTCCAGATGGGATGCACCCGCGGGTGCTGAGGGAACTGGCTGAGGTCATTGCTAGACCGCTCTCCATCATCTTTACCAAGTCTTGGGAAACGGGAGAGGTGCCTGAGGACTGGAGGAAAGCAAATGTCACTCCTGTCTTCAAAAAGGGCAAGAAGGAGGACCCGGGTAACTATAGACCGGTTAGCCTCACCTCCGTTCCTGGGAAAGTGATGGAACACCTTATCCTTGGTGCCATCTTAAGGCATATCAAGGATAAGAGGGTTATGAGGGGCAGTCAACATGGCTTCACCAAGGGGAAGTCGTGCTTGACCAATCTCGTAGCCTTTTATGAGGAAATAACGCGGTGGATGGATGATGGTAGAGCAGTGGATGTGGTCTACCTCGACTTCAGCAAAGCGTTTGACACAGTCTCCCACAGCATCCTTGCGGCTAAATTGAGGAAGTGTGGTCTGGATGATCGGGTAGTGAGGTGGACTGTGAACTGGCTGAAGGAGAGAAGCCAGAGAGTTGTAGTCTATGGGGCGGAGTCTAGTTGGAGGCCTGTATCTAGTGGAGTGCCTCAAGGGTCGGTACTGGGACCAGTATTATTTAATATATTCATCAACGATTTAGATGAGGGAATTGAGTGTACTATCAGCAAGTTTGCTGATGACACTAAGCTGGGAGGGGTGGCTGACACGCCAGAAGGCTGTGCTGCCATCCAGAGGGACCTGGACAGGCTGGAGAGCTGGGCGGGGAATAACTTGATGAAATATAACAAGGGAAAGTGTAGAGTCCTGCATCTGGGCAGGAACAACCCCAGGTTCCAGTATAGGCTGGGGAACGACCTGTTAGAGAGCAGTGTAGGGGAGAGGGACCTGGGGGTCCTGGTGGACGACAGGGTGACCATGAGCCGACATTGTGCCCTTGTGGCCAAGAAGGCCAATGGCATCCTGGGTTGTATTAGAAGGGGGGTGGTTAGTAGGTCGAGAGAGGTCCTCCTTCCCCTCTACTCTGCCCTGGTGAGACCTCATCTGGAATATTGTGTCCAGTTCTGGGCCCCTCAGTTTAAAAAGGACAGGGACCTGCTGGAGAGAGTCCAGCGCAGGGCAACTAAGATGATTAAGGGAGTGGAGCATCTCCCTTATGAGGAAAGACTGAGGGAGCTGGGTCTCTATAGTTTGGAGAAGAGGAGATTGAGGGGTGACCTTATTAGTGTATATAAATATATAAAGGGGGAGTGTCACGAGGATGGAGCCAGGCTCTTCTCAGTGGCAAACAATGAAAGGACAAGGGGTAATGGGTACAAATTGGAGCACAAGAGGTTCCACTTAAACCTGAGAAGAAACTTCTTCTCAGTGAGGGTGACGGAACACTGGAACAGGCTGCCCAGGGAGGTTGTGGAATCTCCTTCTTTGGAGACATTCAAGACCCGCCTGGACACGTTCCTGTGTAACCTTATCTAGGTGTTCCTGCTCCGGCAGGGGGATTGGACTAGATGATCTTTTGAGGTCCCTTCCAATCTCTAACCTACTGTGATACTGTGTGATACTGTGAAATTGGTATGTTTGAACTGTGGTCCAAATAGTAAGTATTTTTTTTCTCCTTAATATATACAGCACACATAGAAATTACCTGCAGTGGCATACCCTTTTTTTAAGAAACTAAAAGAAAAAAATAATATGAACTGAGTAGAAAGACCAGAAACATTTATTGCTGCTGTTCCCATCCAGTGTCATGACAGAACACCAAACTGTCAGTTACTGGGGATCAACGGCTATTTCTTCTTTTTTGGTTCTCCAGCAACTAGAATCTATTTTGATTTCTTGGTGTCCTTTCTAGTTATGCTGTATTACTCATAACTGCAGCGCAGTGGTAGCTGCCAATACAAATTTAGTCTTTTCTGTTTATTCTGTACTGTCCTGTCAAAGCAGATAAGTCTGCTTTGCATTAGAGCTCAAAAATTTAATTGTGGGAAAATGATGAGTCACTCAAGCTAAGGTAAACCAATGTCTGTGTCAGGGGACGTTCTTTTGATGTACAAAGCAATGAAATGACATCAGGGCCATGAGCCAGAATTACCAAGTCTCACACAGAGGTGTCATTTACTTTTCCTTGGGACAAAAAGGCTTTTTGAACGAGAAAGAAGATTGATTTGTGATCAAGCTGGGAAAAAAAAAAAAGAGAATAAACCAGGAAAGGGATTCTTCCAAGCTTTATTAGCAATTCAAGCCACCTACTTGTGAACATCTAATGAAATTCTCTCAAGAGACTGCTCAGAGCATTTTTCTTTCTTATCCCTTAGAGATTGGCCATGCAATGATGGGAGTGACCATCTGTAGGAACCAGAAATGCAACCAAGTTGGGAGGAGCAGGCTCAGTCCAGTTTTGTCAGGGTTTGTTAGAATTGCTCTACAACTGTCTCTGAAGGCTTTTTATTTCTCTTTTCAAGGATAAAGGTGTGGAAACCTATAGGGGATGCTGAATATTTCCTGGCATCATTCTCCATTGCAGAGCTGCATCTCTGAAATCCAGTTAATTTAAAAGAAGTTACACCAGCCTGAGTCCTATGTGTGATGCACCTTAGGAATCAGAGAATTGGGCCTTCTGTATGTCTGGTGGTGCTGTTTGAAGGAACGACAGCTTGAAAAAGCCAGCAAGGCTGCCCTCTGCTGCTACCCAAGGCATATTTTGAATCTTTCCCAGGTTGAATGTTGCCCTCATTGATCCTTTCCTGACTACTGGAACTGTGGCTGTGGAGATCTAGTTTCTTTTGAGGGCCTGTATCAGATTTGCATATCTGAGCTTCATTCACCTTTGTCTGCATTCTAGTGTTGAAGTAGGCCTTTTCAAGGACAAATGTAGCAAGTAACACAGTGACTAAATTAAGTCTGCAGGATTTCCTTGTGATATGATAAATTTTCAACAGAACAAAGCAGATATTGAGTAGAAATGCATAAGGAAATCCCATGAAGGACTGACAGAAATTAATTCAGAACTTTTTTCAGCATAATTTGGACAAGACATACTAAAGTCCAAAGTACACAAATGAGAAGCGATAAGTAAGAAGTATATAACTAGTAAACCAGCTCTCAATTAATTTATATTTTCTGCTACATCTTTGTGGTGAAACTCGACTGTGTGTTAATGGTCCTCAGAAGATTCTAGACAACACTGATGCTCTACTTCTTATTAAGGGTAAAACTCACCCTATTGAAGAGGACAAGCTTAAGATCTATGCACTCACTTAGTACCACTTATCCCAATTTTCACTTAACAAGGGCGTAAGTAGTGTATATGTCTGGATTGTCCTTCTGCACTAAAGTGAATTTTCTCCCTAGTAAATTAGATTGGTCTGATGTGTGCTTAAAAGGAAGAAAATCTTTGCTTTCATTAGGGGTTGTTCTCGGAAATTGCTGCTTGACCTGTAACTTACAAATTCTCAGTTCCTCAAAACTGCTTTGACACTCATACATGGTATATTTACATGATTTACCACTTGATCAAACAGCCAAGTTGAAGTGATGGAGCCCATCAATAATGAAGGGGAATAAATTTTGAGGGAGATGCTTGTTCCTTTGCTATTCAAATCCTTCCTGTGGATGGATTTTTTAATATACATTATTTTGATGTTTGAATAAAATTGGTACAGAGTGGGTTGAGTAGCATCATAAGACCATAATCATATCCCTCAGCAGAAAACACAGAATGGTGGAATACAGTTATATATTTAACTTATATGTAAGTGAGATAAACATAAACAGGGCAATTTTGCAAGCCAAGAAGTCATGACAAAGTTTAAATGGAAGGTCTTGTGTGCATGAAGAAGTTTGTGTATTTTGCTGTGCTCAGTTTGTTACTGATGACAGGTTAGACCCACCTGTGTGTGCATCTATCTTGTTGCATGCACAAGTCCTGCAGTTGTAAAAATACACTCTCACCCACTCCCAGATGTAATTATACAGAGCCCTCTAGCTTTTGACTTTAAAATAGGCAGCTGGTTGTACACATACAAATTAGGGCATGCAGAACACCTTTCTGTGGCCTCAAATGCATGTTTTTATTTGCAGGAACACAGGCTCTGCAAGATATTCCAGTCACAGTTAATGAAGTCCTTAATGAACTGATGGGCCTGTTTCTTATCTCACTTATGCCAGATTTAAACCTATGTAACTCCATTAACTTGTTGAGTTGATCCCAATTTTACATAAGTGTAAAAAAGATGAGAACCAGACGTTTTATGTTCTCATTATCTAAGAGAATACAAAGTATGAAGTTCTTAAAAACATTTTTTCTGTTTTCTATCAGTTACAAAGAGACTTAAGCACTCCTCCACCTTTGACCCTCCCCACTTTCCCTACGTACCAGTTTCTGCAGCTGCTTACTCTGTTTTCCAACAGTTAGGCTGATCATGCAAGTTTTGATCTCATTTTGGTTTTGTAATTCCTGAAATGATTCTGTAAACTTTATTCCTAGTGAGCACATTCCTCACATGAGTCAAAACTATGCATTCCTCCTCCCTTCCCACAAAGCCCTCTTCTAACAGTTCAGCCTTCTCCATAACATTCCAAGATTTTCTTAGATGTAAAGAAATTGCTAGTACAGAAACCAGTCACAGAACGTGAGTGTAACACTGTGGAACTGAAAGCAAAATCTTTTTCCTCCTTACAGGGTAACTGTGGTAATGTTTAATCTAGGCTTGCTGTTTTCAGCTGATTATGTTGAACAACTTCTAGTCTGCAGCAGTTTACCTTCTGTGTGAACTCTGAATTGAAAGATCAGTTTTGCCCAAGGAGACATACCCTGTGCACACAGGGAAAATTATTTCAGATGGGTTTTTTTAACTTTTAATGTGTTTTGATATTGCCCTGATATGATTTACAATATAGTAACGTACTGTACACTTTTGTCTCCATAGCCGGGTTCAAATGCCAGTGTGAACCTGATCTTCAAGAAATTCAAGGCAGAGATTCTTGTGAGAAGCTCACGTATTGGGTACTTTTGCCAGCTCACTCTAACCACATACATGACTGAATGACAGAATTGGGCAGGAATACAACAGGAGCCCTAGTGAGACATCTGAAATCCTGAAAGCATGAATCTGAGCTGACCTACACCATGTTAGCACTGTAGAAATGCCTCTGACTTTGATGGAGTCGCTCATAATTTACAGCTATGTAAGATCAAATATATTGCCCAGAGTACAGAAATGTTAACATGGATAGTCTCAGTCAGAGAAGGGATGCTTATTCTAATGGTACCTCCTGTCAGTCAAGTCATAGACTAGATGTCACTTACGAGGACAATGGGTCACCCCTTTTCCTCTATTCTGAATGTGATTAAAAATATAAAAATGAGAGTTAGAATGGAAAAATGAACTATTAGGAAAATAAATAAGAGGACTGAAAAGAGAAATTAGAAAGGAGAATGAAAGGCAAGTGCCCTAAACAGCCCCAAACCAATTACCTCGGGCTTAGCAGAGGGTGAAGTGGTTGTCTGAGCAGCGTGAAATGAACCGTATTACTCAGCTGTGTTACAGTAGTCATTTCTTATTTCATTCTCCCAAGGCTTATGCAAGACTCCTCCAGAAAGTGCCAAGTTTCTGCCAAGGGAGGCAGTGAGAGCTCCAGGATCCCTCCACAGCCAAAGCCAATGTGCGACAAGGGCAATCCCCTCCAGGAGTTCCATCTGGTGAGATCAGGCCAAGTAAGTGAGAACAGAGCAATGGCCATCTAGTGAAGTCATGTCAGATATGACTAACTAAATGCAGGGTTCAGACCACATCTTCCTGTGACTTAGCTGAAAGAAAAATGAATAAAATTCAGGAGGTGAAATGCTGAATAGGTGATTATTTCTCCTTTGCGTAGTTCTGCAGTATGCCCAACCCTTTACATTACTTACAGCAGTGACCAAAGGTTAAAATGAAAGCTAACATCCCTTTTGTGCTAGCTCATGCATTTTTCTGGGGAAAAAAAAGAGAAGCCAGGTCCACTGTTTATAAGGTAGAAGACCACTCTGCACCTAATTTCAGGCCTAGCCTTAGATGTGCTGAAAGCTCACATCAGTTTAAAGATACATAAATTCTGCTCTCTGTCATAACCTTATGATGCCAAAAAGGATGTGCATCTTCAAGTGACTGCTAACACAATGGGTTTCAGTTCTGAATTCCACAGTGAGATGCCTCTGTTTAAGGACTGACTACTCAGAGATGCACTTGTATCCCTTCAGTTGCTCCTGAAACCAGGGGGCACTTGCTCTAAGCACCCCTGAAATACTGCCCTGGGTCCCTCATTCTGGAATCTTTAAAATTGAAAGTACCTGAAAGTTACAGGACACCTCAAAAAAGGCAGGCTGGAGATGACAGTGCTTTTGAAAGTACAGCAATACCTTAAGTATGACAAATACTATAGAAGTACTAATGCTGTTTGGCAATTTCCTGGAAGGTTGGGGGAGTGGAAATTCGGTTCATTAATTGATGCTGATACCTCCAGAAGTCATTTCAAATTGTTTTCCTGAAATAAGACTTGAACCCGGATGGCAGAGGTGAACCTGCTTTGCCAGCCTCCAACAAGAGATGTTATAGGTTCAGAAACAATATTTATATTCCCAAATCTCAATCTCTCTCTCTCTTTTAAGCTTATTGAAATTAAAAGCATGACCTGCCACATCACATTACATCAAAACATGATGTAACTTCTTAATTTTAAAAAAAGCTTTAATTCATGATGTTGTATCATGCCACAAAAACCTTTTGTTTTCCCCAGAGAAACTATAAATTTTTTACAGTGACTGTTTATCCAGTATCTTTGGCAGACTGAAACAGTGAGCGTTGGCAAAAAGCAGATATTTAACAGCTACTGACGAACAGCTTATGAATCACCAAGCTTGAATCCTGGCACACATCTCCCTGCAGGAACCTTACTGAAATCACCCATCTTCCCTTCACCTCCTTCTAACTGCAGTAACATTGAGTAACTGACTGATCCTGAACCACTAAACTTGCTCTACTTTATCCTTTCCAGCCTGTATATTTTCGGAGGAAAGCACTCTTGCTGTAAAAGTGCCACTGCAGAAACATTCCAGGAGCAGTGTCCAATATGGATTTCCCACTGATTTTGAACAGCCAAGGAAAATACTTTTCATTACAACAGTGTTTGGCATTTGTATGTTTTTCATCTATAAAAGGGCTTTGAAAAATGGCTTTACCTATACAGTTTTATCAATGGGGCAACTGAAGCATGAGCAATAGAAGATGTCATCAGTAGAGCCAAGAATAAGCTGGTCTGTGTCTGCTCTGCTGGTCCATGTATCTTCCAAGTGATGAATTCACAGTATTTGGCTTACTGTTTTACATGTTTCTACAAGGCAAGCTGGACTACCCCAGGACATGAAAGGCTATATGCTTGTTGGTCTGGGTCTCTCTCAGTCTGCTTACTTGCCTGGTGCTTTTTGGGGTACTGCTGCGGCTGAAGCAAAGAAAGTTCAATGGAACTTGAGAGCAAGGACTACTTGTCCAAACAAGGGTTTTCAAGCCCTTGTTTTCTAAACAATTGCTTTATAGGGTGGACTCTGTACCATAAATCTGTAGCCTAGGATTATGGTCATTATTGGCTTAACTGTCTTACTAAGACTGGACTTATTTCTCACATAACTGATAAAAGTCATAATGCTGTCAGTCCCTGGTATACTAGCTGTGCTCAACTTTTACTGCTTCCTAGTTCCATGATCCATAGTGCACATATGGGGTATAAAGCCTTCTTAAAATCATAGCCCCTTAACTAAAAGCTTTTTCTGGGAGACAGTGTGGTTTGAATTATACTGAGGACCCCAAACAGCAATTACTCTTGGGCTACTGCCTTTGAAATAGATCTATTTTAGGTGAATATTCCTCTTTCAGAAGGGTACTTCTAACCCTATTTATGAGTCTTACTGCTTGTACTGAATAACCTAACAGGGGAGTGAAAGCTCCCTGAGTACTCTTGATGTAAACACACAATGATGATCTTCATTACATGCAATGGGTGAAAAGGGGACAGGGTTTTTTCACCATTGTGTAGCTGTCGCTCTGGGTGCTCTGGTAAGTACTGAAACCCAAGGCTATGACCCATTTTTCGCAAAATCCTAGAGAGTGTCTATTCTATCTCACTGTTAACTAGGGAAAAGTTCTAACTTCAAACCCTGTCCATGGGTCAGGAAACCATTCTTGACATCACTTCTAGTACAGAGTACCTTCTCCATTAGTGCTTTTTCTTCCAGTGAGAGTTTGGCATATTAACCTGGATGGGTTTTAGGTGAGATCAAATCTTCAGTATGGTTCCATAAGTGGTGTGCAAGCAACTGCACTTGGAAAACTGTCAGATTTCTGAGTCTGAAATGAGCTGGGGGCTACTTAAAATTTGGTTGTCAACCCACACCTAAAATGTGCTTGCCACACTACAGCCTAAGAAAGGACACTTGGCCAGTGAGAGGAAAGGGAAGAGGTCTCGGGTGAAAATACTGGGTGAAACTGAGCAAAAGAACTTCAAACTCTCTTGCAAATATGTAAGGAATTATCTTGCATAAATCTCCTCTTGATATGACATAGAAGGTTTCAAGTTTTATGGCATCTTACATTATTGTTTAAATTTGTTTCAAGCAAGAAATGTACTTTTTAAGGTCAGGAATACAGATTTGTTAGATGCTAAGACACCTGAAAAGCAAGAATACATATTGTAGGATGAATATTTTACAGAGTAATTATTTAAATATATTCAAGTATGAACATCTTTAGATCCTAAATTTAGTATTCCTTAAACACATAATCTTACAATAAAATCTAGCTCACTCTTACATTGTTCATAACATTCCAATTTTCTGTTTGAACTAGTTGTTTTGCAAAGTTGTGTCTTGGCTGTTTATTTAAAGTGCCCCACTGATATTTTTGCCCCAGACTTCAATTTTTGGCATAACACTTGCACATATGTTGATGATGATATTACGTCTGAAGTTCTCAAAACATGATAGCATACTACGGCTGGTGTGTGAACTACTCAGATGTGATGTACAGAGGCAGCTCCCTGTTTCTTACATAGAGCCCTTGCCTGAGCTGTGGGTTAAGTGCCTGCCTGTGGCACATAGCAGCAACAAGGCAACTGCAAGATCCTTCTGCAGCTCTACTCAGGAGCAGTGTGTGTGTTGAGCATTCAGGGACCAGGAGAAACATGGTCCCTGAAGAGATCTGACTTGAAAGAGATGGCAACAAGTCAAGTAGTTGCGTTAAGTAGTTAAGATGAAAGTAGTTGAGAGATCTGGGGATGCTGCTGGAAGGGTGAAGTTTGTATTAAAACACAGTAAAGATGAGAAGGGAAGGGATAGGCACCTGCCTTGGAAATGTGCCTTGGAAATGAATAAAGAATTAGCTAGCAGTCGCTGTTGCAAACACCTGAGCAAATTGAATTTGGAGAGCTTCATTGTTGTAACAGAGATAAGAAATACATTGGCTCCCCTGAATTACTGTATTGTAAGTCACATTTTCAGTTCGGTTCTCTAAATCCTCATGCCAAGGTGAACTCAAATTTTAGGGTTCAACTATTTTGCTTAGGCACTGTAAACAACGATCTCAGAGTTTCATGTCTGATTATACCTCTTGTACCTCTGAGCTTTATTTCTCATTAAACAGACAAAACAGGCACCTGCAGAAATGTGAGCCTGCCTGCATCTGGCTGAAAACAACACGGCTCAAATTTAACCACACCTGCCCTATTTAAATGGTTATTACATTGAAATAGAGATATTATGTTGTGTAAAGGCATCATAGAATGACACAGAGATCTTTTGTTATTCGTGGTATCACCAAGCCTAATAAACAGCTTCGATATGAAGTTTAAGTAAGGGCACCTTATGAACAAGTATTGGCCATTATATATTTGTAGGTAAGTTTTCCTGGCCACCTGTCTTCCTGCATGGTCTTTGCTGTGTCCTGATTGAACTTTGGCTTGCTTGATTGTATACAAGATTCTTACTCTGGATCTTCTCTCTGCTAACCCAGCAGGATTAAGTACAATGAAGGTAAGAACTGAACTTCTGTATGCACCATACACGCTTCTTATTGTATATTACAGCCAGCTGGACACAAGGAAATGCAGTATAAATCTTTAGTCTGACATTGTCTTGGAAGAACTTTATAAAATACTTCCTGAGCCTTTCTAGGTTTAAAATACACCACCATGAAATCATAGGAATAGAGACAGCAAAGAACAGGAGAGTCTAAAGAATAGGGAAGTCGAAATACCCCTGCATTTCAGGTCACCCAGACACAAGACGCAGAAGCTTGTAACTTGTTAGGGCAGTGCTGAACACACAAATAACCACATGTGCAGCTAGGGCTGCCTTAAGTATTTGGACACAGAGCTACTACTGCAGTCCAGTCATCACAGTATTGAAAATATTCACATGTGGACCCTGCTACTTTTACCTCTCACCCTCCTGGCTGTGGGTGTCTGTGCTGGGTGTTTTTTATGGTGCCACCCACTGATGGTAAAGCTAGAAGAACCTGACCACAAAACGTAATACATTCTGCTTTGTTTCTGGAGGCTTCAAAAGTAGACGTATGGATGAGACAAGGAGAAAGGACTATGAACTGTTAGAAACAGCAGTTGTGTGGGACTCATTATTCACTGTTTTCCTAAGTGGGACTCATTAATCACTGTTTTCCTAAGTGATATATGAGATTTGTAAGATGTTAAAGGGAATTTAATCTCCTTACATGCCCTCGCTGCATCACTTTCAGGTAGTGTGCAAAGATGATGAGGATGGTGCAAGAGAGCTCCAAAACTTTCATACCCTCATGCCTTTCTTGCCAGTAACCCTACCTAATTTGTGAGTATCCAGCAGGCTTATATCCTTCGCAGCAGGCATTATACATGTATTGTTATATTTGTCATTGTTAAATATAATGTTGGAGCCAGAGAATGATCACATACCTTGTATTTGGACCTAGGTCTAGCTTCAGTATCCCCAGTTTTCTGGCAGGAGTCACAGAAGCAATTCTAGTCTTAGCCCTGCAGGGTGTTAAACTAAAGGTTTCCATTCAGACCCTTGACTTATTTTTCCAGTTTGTTCCCTATTATCATACCTTCCAGAAATCCAAACTGAAGCTTCGATAACGAAAAGGCCCTTTCTCATCACGACTAAAAGCAGAATACTTTAAGTAGTTTAGAATACAAATGTGCAATGAAATATCAGCCTGGGTGATGCTATGAGAAGAAAGAGTGTACAGTATGCTTTATGTGTTTTTAGCTGTTCTACCCTACACTGCAACATGTGCACCCACTCTTGTAACCTCTACTGCTGTGCAAAGATGATCTGTCATTTCTACAAAATAGATATATATTTATACTGAGGCAGCTTTGAATCCTTACTGCCCTCTAGAGAAATTCTGATAGAAAAGCTCAAACTGACAGAGTCAGCAAAAAATAATTGCAGTCCTAATCTTAACTACACCAGCTGCATGCAGTGTCAGTGACAAAATCTGTAGGAACAGAAATGCACTTAAAGGACCCTTTTTCTCCATCATTGGGAGTTCTGGCCAGACTCAAACACACTTATCCCATTCAATGCACAGGAAAGCTCAGCAAAAACAGTTTCCATTATCCATGGGTTTAAGTGAAAGAAGAAATGAAAAAAATCTCTTTTTAAAGAAATTGCAAGTTATATTTACATCACCATTTAAACTACACATCTGTAACTGTGCGCTTTGTCATTCTCACAGTTCTATCTCTATGCTAGCCTGAGGATCGTGGATGAAAGGAGCTGTGACTGAGTGCAAAGGCCTGGAATGGAGCTGCAAGCCTGCACAGGAACCGAGCTATTCCTCTGGAAAAGGCTGAACTTCCACGTGTGCAGGTGAGCTCTTGGAGGTCTCAGTGACCACCTGCACAATTAACTGCTGCAACTACAAGAGTATTTTTTGACAAGATGTGTTTGGGTAATTCTGTAAAATCAAAGCATCAGAAGGCATGGCAAAAAGTCTGTTTTACAATACCATGGGAATATTTCATGTGGTTGGGCCAACACAGAGGAAATAGCAATTGCAATGTTAGCAATGAATGATAGCACAGTGCAGCTAAGAATACATTCAGCAAACTGAGGTCCTATTTTAACACTGACAAAAAAAGAGAAAAAATATAAAATGTGTGTCTGTGTGTGTGTATTTTTTTTCCAAAACAGCTGAATCCCACTATCCTGCAGAAACTTATTCATTTAACAGGCTGTCAGTGCAAGATCCTTTACATAGCTCTGCCTTTTCATGCCTAATGGGGTTTGCCCTGAACCAGACAAAGCCTATTAAACATGGCAGAGAAACAGATGATATGAGAGACTACTGGAAGCAGTGTTGGCTGCCCTCTAATGGCATGTGTTCCATAAGCACACACCTGAGCTCCCCAGGGACTCTGTGAGGATGCCAGCAGATGCGCTGTCCCAGAGTGCCTGGTATTCCCTGCAAGAGGAATGTTCATACTCTGAGCAAAAATGGAAATCTGGTACTGTATATTCAGTTTTTCAGACCGTGACAGCAAGATAGAAGTGGCAAGAGCGCTCCAAAAGCACTGTCAGAGCAAAGGGGAAGATGTACATTTGATGAAGGCACCGGACTGAAGGGCTGGCTTACTTAGGAACAAAAATGTGTTCAGTGTGTGAGTACCAAGCACTGTGCCTTGCAGCTATCTGTCACCTGAAAACTATAAATACTGAATACTGTCAGCATTTTATTTCCTTTGATTCTAGCGGGGAAATTCAAAAGGCTTATGGGTTCAGACTGAGTTAAAACTCCTGATCTGAATGTGTGCTGAGTCAGAATTTTGTCTGATTTGAGTGCAAATATCAGAGCATGTAGGAATGAGCTGGGCACTACCTACAAGTCTACTAAACAATCATGAAACTGAATCTGTAAATATAGAAGAAAATAACCCCCTAAGCCTGAGAGTGCAAAGTTGGAATTGTCACACAGAGAAAAAAATAGGAATTATTATTATTATTATTGTTATTTTGTTATAATAGCAGTGAGGGACTCAGTGCACCCCTCTCTACTGCCAGATTCTCCAATCTTCTAAATAAATAAGGGCTGAAAAGGAAATTTCAGGGTTCAGTAATGAATTATTCTGCCCAGTCTCTAAGCAGCTCAGAAACAGTGCTTCAGTGCTTCAAACTGAATCCAGATCTTTTGAATCTTAGACTCTTCCCTCATTCCCTGAACTTTTGATGTCCTTTCATGTTCTCTGTTACTTACAATGCTTTGCTCCCCATGTTGTTTAAAATCTCCACTTGAATCAGATTCTCTAGAAAAAAAAATTTAGTCAGACTTTTCTGAAACTTTGAAAAGGTTCTACTCAGTTTGAGGTAAAGTTTCAGTCATATTTACTTGATCTGAACCATATCTTATTCCATACATTTATTTATTGCCATTTCTATTGATTCTTTCTCCTCTCCTCCATTGATTAACCTGGAGATCTGCAAAGGAGGAACCAAGGCTTTGAGCTAACAGACAACTATAGTTATTTAGACTTTCTGATTTATTTTTCCAATATGTTTATTCTGAAGCAAAGATTTCTTTGCTTCGTAAATAGTGACCATTATTCTGTTTATGTTATCACTGATTAAAAATGGTTCCTAAAGATCCCACGTTTTCCCCAAGGAATTGATGATCTGTGGGTAAGTATTGATACAGACATCAAATAAATGCTAGTTCAGAAAGCAGAATTACTGCTCTAAATGTGTGTCCTACTTGGATCCATTTAGTAATCTCAGATTTAACATGATATTCTCCAGGGCAACACTCACCTGTACATCCATGAGTTTTTGTAGTGCCCATGGGAATGGACCCGTGCTATCTGGCTCCTCTGAAGAAGGAAGTCCATGCCTGGGGGAGGCAGAGGACACAATACCTCTTGTGTCTTCATCACTGGAATGGCAGAAATGTGTTCTCAAACATTGACTTTTTTTCCCATTTATTCACATTTATTCATCTGCATGTTGGCCAGTGCAAGGGTGGAAAAGGGAATTGTCACAGCTGGTGGTTGCTATTGAAATAAACGTGATGAGGGAGTATTGCCTCCCTCCCTCCTATCTGCCCAGCACATGCTCATGGACAGTGTTATTTGCAACTAACTTAGCACCTTGGTCTCCTGGATCCATTAGCACACCTCTTAGGCTGGCAGGAGGGGAGTAACAGTGCCAGATTTCTGCCTGACCTGGCATTTAAAATCAGAAACCAATCCTTTACTTTTCTGAACCTGAGGAGTTAGCTGTTTGACAGCATCTCCTTTCTTCCCGCAGAGTCCAGAGAGGGCACCAAGCTTTATGAAGAAGCAAAATGAGGGAATGGGCAATAGTTGCCAGTTCTCACCAGAACAGGTAGAGAGAATACAAAGTTTGGATTCTTTCTGTGCTGGAAGTACCCCAGATATTCTGTTTCTAGTTATTTTTTTTTCACTCTATTTGCTCACCTGTGGAAGAACATACAACGAATGAATTTTAACAAGCAACCAACATTATGGAGGTATTTGAACTTGCATCTTCGCTGCTGGTGAGTGAGTGCCTTACACAGCATTGGTTCTGAAGTTTATTTTGCTTTTGGCTAGAAAATGTCCTTGAAGCTCAAAGATCTTCCTGACAAACATTTATTCAAAACTGACACACTCCCACACAATAAATTGGTATAAAGAATCAGTAATTTCCTGTGAAAACCTGTTCAGGTAAAAAAATACACATATAACTCTATTAATTGACCTAATCCTGCACTGCTAGTGGTAACTAAGCACATGTTAGATAAGGCCTGCTCAGCTCATTAAGAGGACAAACTACACACAGAGGAGCTTTGGTCTGTGACCATTATACGTCTGAGCAATCCATTCTCTACTACCCCGCCCCATCAATAGTCAACTGTTTGGCTTCTGTGTTTGTTTTTACAATCTTTATCACCTTTTCATTATTCATTTTTCCCCATCTTCTCTGAAAACCTTTCTGTCCCAGTTAAGAGGGGAAATGGGGAAACGGCGATGTGGCAACTTGCTGGCAAGTCAGGTAACTTTCCTGCGGCAGTTCTCACTGATCCCCAAACAGCAGGGTGCTCTTCCATTGGTTCCTCAGCATAACTGAATTTCTGCTGAATCTTATTTCTGGCCCATTTCAAATACATGTTTGCATTTATGTCAGATATGGACTAAACTGGATACTTTGGGGTGGAGTCCAACACTTGCAAATTTTCTTTATGACAGTTGTCAGTTGCATTCCTCAGACCAGCTTAATGCTGTATGAATTCTTGCACAAAAATGTAACATGCTGATAATATCCATTCCCTTTCTTCTGTATCTTTTTCTTTCTCCATCATTATAATTCTGTCTTTTAGCTTCTTCCTCTGCTGAGCTTTCAGAGACCTTCCTAATCAACATCAGACACAGTGGGAAAATGGGTGGCACAAGCGTGGGTAAAAGGCTCTACTGTAATTTGAGGGGTTTTGCAATCATCTTCACAAGTGACGGCACAACCCAAGCAGCAAATACAGCTCACTCCCTCTGGGGGAAAAGCTATTTGATTTTAGATATAAATGTATTTATATTTATGTGCATATGCTTGTACGTGTCAAATATTAATTTCTTTTATTCTAATTTTCTCTCATTTGCATCTGCCCCTGTGCCTCATCATTCTGGGCCCGGCTGGCTTTGCACAAGCATTGCCTTTCAGGCGGCACCTAGCAACATCATCCCAGGAAAGAAACTGTGTGTCCAAAAGGTTCAGTTCTCATTCTGCTTCTCTCTGTCACAGAACAACTAGACTGGGCTGGTGGGACTCTGTCAGTCCACATGCTGGCCAGTCAGTGCTGTAAAGTACTTGCGTTTCCATGCATAGTTTCCATGCACAGCCTCTGATACAGATGGTACCCTGAGCCCCAGAGCCTGCCAGGCTAAGTTATCTGGCCATGGGTGTTGAAGCCCATCCACGCATGCACAGGGACATGTCTTACAAGAACCTAATGCAGATGACAGCAAACCTGGGAGCACACCTTGATCCAAGACCGTGATCTCACAGAGGTGCTGGCCAAGCCCAGACATCAGATGTGACACAAACCACCTCAGATTATTAGCCCCTATAATTAGTAATTCTTACAGCAAATATCCTTATTCCTTTTGATCTCTGTATGAGGTCCTTTATGTCCTTAACGGGGAAAAATCACCTTGCCTCCCTCAATGCTATACTGGAGGTCACCAGGTTAATTCCATGCTAGATGCATGGATAAAAAGGAGGATAAGAAGAAAGAGTAGGTCATTCAGTGGCAAAGGTTGAGAAGATCTGCTTTAAACACTTTATGGGAAATTGTAAAATTCCTAAACAATTTAACAGATTAACTTCCCCTTTCAGTGGCATCAGTAAAACTGAATTATCATCCTCACTTTTAACTGATGCCTAGACCCAATACCCATCCATCAGGGATCATTTAGTGATAAAGCGATCAATCCTGCTATGGAGCAGAGGGGACAAACTATGTGAGATACCATCACCAAATATCCTTTCCACCCCAAAGCATTCTGTGAGTCTTTGTCAATGAAAGTGCATTTGTCTAGTCTTATCTGCTGCAGTATACGTGGAATACAAAGGAAGAAAGTAAAATATGCATTTGATGTACATGTGCAGATGCCAGATGTATTATCAACCCAAGGACTGCCTTTTTTCTAGGAACTGAACACAGCACCTGATAACCAGCCACTGCACCACTACCTCAGGTACCAAATTAATAGATGTGAAAGCAAACATGAAGCTGTCTTAAAATAATGCTGTGATATGTGGAGGATTTGAGAGAACAATGAGAAAAAATAAGTTTCTCCCTTTTCTGACTCCTCACCAGTAAGTGTTCTGGTTTTGATGTTTGCCTTTCTAATATATTAAAGATTTATACATTGAGAAGATTACAGATCAGAAATAACTGAAAATTTACAAAACTTGCTCTAATTATTCTAATCAACATTTGGATTTTATTTAGGTGTGTACAATGGGTACTGGCATTTCAAGAAATAACCTTAAATTTCTTTTTTAATCAAAATATCCCCACTTTAGGCAAGAAATTGTCCATTTCTACTACAAAACAGGTAGATTTTTTGTAATAAAAAATCATATTTGAATTAAACATTTAATAACTTATTTGCTAAAACAGAGATAAATGTTTGATTTTCTAGTTT